GGGGGGGGGGGGCTCAGGGCAGCAGGGCCTCGCCCTCCTCGGCCCACAGCAGGTCCAGGGCCTCGGCCTGCCGCAGCTCCCGCTGGTGGATCCTCCGCAGGCGCAGGATGTAGAGCAGGATGGCCAGCACCACCACCAGCAGGCAGAGCGAGAACAGGTGGTGGTTGTAGAGCAGGGGGGGCCGCAGCCAGCCCGGGTGGCTCTGCCGCAGGGTCTCCTGCTGCAGGTCCCTGCAGGGGGGGGGGGGGGGGGGGGGAGCAGAGCCAGGCCACACACATTAGAACCTCTACATACAAATATTCATATGTTGGTTCAAATGTTCCCCAAAACTCCTTAATAAATACAGTGGGGGAAATAAGTATTTGACCCCTTGCTGATTTTGCAGGTTTGCCCACTTACAAAGAATGCAACGATCTATAACTTTAATCATACGTACGTTCTAACAGTGAAAGACAGAATCCCAAAGAAAATTCCAGAAAATCACATCATATGAATTTATAGAAATTTGATAACCATCTGATGAGGAAAAATAAGCATTCTTTGTAAGTGGGCAAACCTGCAAAATCAGCAAGGGGTCGAATACTTATTTCCCCCACTGTACGTCAGATAATTACAGATAGCAATAAAACAAATGTGTTATATAAGAAAAATAAATAAAAAAAACATACAAATTTGCTAAAACAGCAGCAATCAATCAAAGAAATCAACTGTAAAGAAATATTCAATAAAAAGTGTTTTTTATTGGCTCTTATTGGTGAACGGAGGTAGAGGTGGAGACTGAGATACAGGATGAATCCTAAATTACTCTAACTTTCACCACGTGAACTTTAAACTAACTTAGCTTATCTATTTTTTTTTAATTAGATTTTTTTTTTTTAAATTCTATGACTTTGACATATGTTGGAAATTGACTTTGGGTGTCGAGTCGAATATTTAATCAAATTTCACTTCAGATGTTTAATCCTGGGTAGAGGTTCTGCTGTAATTTGACATTTAGCATGTCGATGTTACTGCCTCTGCTTTTGGGGGATTTAAGAATTTCCATATTGCCCCTAAATGTACCCAAACCCTCTGATGAAGGGGCCGAGGCAGATGGCCGCCCACCCTGAGCCATGGTTCTGCTCCAGGTTTCTGCCTGTTAAAAGGAAGTTTTTCCTTGCCTGTGTCGCCTAGTGCTTGCTCATGGTGGGAATTGTTGGGTTTCTGTAGTTAACTTCAGAGTAGGGTCTGACCTGCTCTGTTTGGAAAGCGCTGTGAGACAACTGTTGTTGTGATGTGGCGCTATATAAATAAAATTGAATTGAATTGAATTGAATGAACAGAACCTAGAGAACAGTTCATATATCTGAGAGGTAAAGTCACCTGAGAGGCAGGAAGCGGGTCTTGAACAGGATGGCCCCCAGAGTCCACTGGACCTCCTTGTCGTAGACCAGTTGGGCCGTTTTCAGGCTGGGGTAGTCGAAGGGGAAGCGGAAGCCCGAGTGCAGCACCTCGAACATCCAGGCCGACTTGAAGCACTGGTACCTGAAACACAAGCAGGAGAGAGAGGCTCAGGACGGTCCGGTCAGGGGGGCAGGACCCCGGTCCAGAGGTCTGGACTGGACGCTCAGGCTCCCTCCCCTCTGGGATCACCAAGAGATGTCGTGCAGGAAGTTAAAGTACAAAATGGGTCCTTTTAGGATGAATGAAATACAGCAGAACCTCCATTTCAATGCCTAAATATACAAATTTTCCAACATCCGAAGTTAAATTTGATCAAATATTCGACTCGACAACCGAAATAAACTTCCAACATGACGTTGAAGTCATAGAAAAAAAGTACAAAAATTAATATAAAAATAAATTACCTAAGTTGATTCAAAGTTCACATAATGAAAGTTAGAGTACATATCTCAGTCTCCACCTCTACTTCCATTCGCCAATCAGTGCCAATAAAACCCCTTTTTATTGATTATTTCTTTATAATTGATTTCTTTTTACATCTCTGTTGTATAATGCATTTGTTTTATTGCTATGTGTAATTATCTGCAGTATTTATTAAGGAGTTATCGTAGCTTTTTGGGCTGTGGAACCAATTATAGGAATTACCTGTGTATTCTGATGGGAATATTTGAACCAACAAACGAATATTTTAACATACAAAGTAGATCCCGGCACAAATTAAATTCTTATATAGAGGTTCTACTGTATTTCATTAATAGAAATTAAATGAAAGTGTTGACTGGCAGCCAACCAGAGCCCTGAATTACTTTCTCCCTCACACACACACACTCGGTCAGTTTGAGTTCCTCCCTGTGGACCTTTAAGCCCTAACGTGGTCATGGCGAGTTTCAGAGAGGAAACCGGCCTCAGGGACAACGGGAGAGTGACCGTGGCCACCCGGGGGGTCAAACTTACTTCAGCCGGCTGATGTCGGCCTGCTTGGAGAACAGCTGGCTGTCCAGGCGCTGTTTCAGGGTGGACCACTTGGTGGCGCAGTAATCCTGGAGAACAGACCAGAGGTGAGTTTCTCGTTGGGATTTTGGCCGGAGGAGGAGGTGGAGGGGGGGGTGGGGGGCGTACCTTGGCAGCCTGGGAGTACTTGGAGCTGGCGTAGCGGCCCCCGATCCGGAGTACGTCCTCCATGCAGTAGTAGAACTCGGAGAAGCCGTAGAACTCGCTGTTGCTGAAGTTGATGGGAGCCTGCAGACCGGAGAGATCCGTTAGCGGTCAGGGAAGAAGAAAAACCTGACCTCTGAAACCTGGACTAACAGGCCACTCAATGATACTTTACAAAGGCAATCATTATTAAAACAACATTAAAACATAAGAAAACATACAAAGTCATAAATACATAATAAATAAAAACATTATAAATGAATTAAATAAAAATGTAATGAATACAACTGTGCAGAATTCCTTCTGGGATTATTAAAGTATTCCTGATTCTGATTGATAATAATAAGACATTTTATTTTTAAAAAGCGCCTTTCATGCCACTTAAGGATACTTTACAAAGACGACCATTATTAAAACAACATTAAAACATAAGAAAACATACAAAGTCATAAATACATCATAAATAAAAACATTGTACATGAATTAAATAAAAATTAAATGAATAAAACTGTGCAGAATGAGGGGAATGTTAGAGTTAGGGGTGTTGAGGTGGGTAAGACATTTTAAACAGTTGGGTTTTGACTTTTGTTTTGAAAATCCCTCTTTTCAAAACAAAACAAAACTCAAAGTGGGTATTTCGGACGTCAGATGTACCTGGTAGACGCCCCGGGGGGACATGGTGCCGTTGTGGAGGCCCAGGAAGGGCCGGACGGCCTCCTGGCACTGCGTCCAGTCGCCCTGACCGCGGAGGTGCAGCGTGCCGTTGTCCCTGACCACCGCGTCGGACAGGCCGGCGGGCAGGCAGGGGTCCAGGACGGGCGTGTCCTCGCTCAGGCCGGCCTGAGCCGCCAGGAGCCTGGGAGGGAGAGCGGGATAAAGGGATTCAGAGCCTCCTGTGTGTGTGTGTGTGTGTGTGTGCGTGTGTGTGTGTCTGACCGGTTCTTGGCCAGCGTGCCGTTGAACAGCCGGTCCTCGTAGCGCTGTCTGGCCATGTTCCCGCCGAAGCCCAGGAAGGTGGTGACGTAGACGCGGTAGACGTGCTGCGTGTGCTCCACGTCACAGCCCAGGTTAAACTCCGCCAGCACGCCTTTACCCGCCTCCTCCTGAAGACCACAGGCCAGTAGGTCAGTCTGAGGGTCAGTATGAGGGTCAGTCTGTTAGTCAGTCCGTTAGTCAGTCCGTAAGTCAGTCTGAAGTCTTAGGCCAGTCTGCCGAGTCTGAAACTCAGTCTGTTGGTCAGTCTATAGCTCAGTCTGAAGGCCAGTCTGCAGCAGAGTCAGTAGGTCAGTCTGTAGGTCAGTCAGCAGAGTCAATCTGAAGTCTGTAGGTCAGTCTGAAGTCTCTTGGTCAGTCTGCAGGTCAGTCTGTAGGTCAGTCTGCAGGTCAATCTGTAGGTCAGTCTGAAGTCTGTAGGTCAGTCTGTAGGTCAGTCTG